TTGTTGCGATCTCGCGCGGGCTTCAAATATGCCCTATTGCTGCTCATACGTGTGCCGTTCATGATCGTGGTCTGCAAATATGAGAATCCTATTTCGTTCTTCCCGTTGTAATCTACTAGTGGATATCCCAGCTCCTTGCCGGCTTCTAGAAATGCCTCTGCCAACGGGGTATGAAATGACGGGTGCGTGATATGTACTGGTCCATCGGTACCATGGTAGAGAATATCCGATTTCAGCTCCGGGATATCTATTGTTTCCAGCTTTTTAAAATATTTGAGAACGTCGTTGTATGCCCAGCCTTCGTTTCCCATCTCGGCCCATCGATCGTAATCTTCGGCGCCGCCTCTAGTTGCTATCATAAAATTTAGCACGCTACTGCCGCCGATTACTTTTCCCGCCGACCAAGCGCAACTGTTATCATTCATACCAAGACAATACTTATTGGATGGCTTAGTTTTGTACTTCCAATTGATCTTGTTGTTTAGAGATAAGATGGGAGCCATCATAGGAATGTTCGTGAAGAAGCTGTCGTTGGATCCAGCTTCGATCAGTAATATTTTGATGTGAGGATTTTCACTCAGCCTTGCTGATATTGCAGCGCCGGCCGTGCCGGCACCAATCACAATGAAATCAAACGTATCTCCATCTTGCAGTGTTAAATGCAATACTTTTTGACTTCGAAAACGTTGGTTTTGCTTCAAGAAATTCAATGTTCCAATGCTCAAGTCTATCAATTTTGATCCGCTCGTATTGTTGTCATAAAGTCTACGATACCAATTCGACGGCGATTGTCTTTGAGACTGTAATAGGCCGATTATGGCACTTAAAGTAAGAACACGAAGAAAGTACGTCACTTTTCTCATCATATCGAGATAGGGTTTGAACAGTGAAAGAACAATACGCAATAATAAAGAAGTGTGTGCTTAACTGCCCGTTATATGTGCTTGCATTAAGATGTATTTGTTATACAAATATCAGGTCAGTACGAATGTAGACGTATGATAAAGTAGGACATTGTATCTGTCATTAATCTCCCAGTCGAATTCCTCCGAGTTGAATCTTATCATAGGTTCCTGTTTAAATTTCCACGCATGTTCAAACGAAATTTCGTGTCATTTTATGTATTTCTTCGATACATATTTTGATTTAGTTGCCAGTTCATCAGTCAACATAACTCGATCCAAGGCCAGACTCATTATCGCGATCATCGACCTATAGTATGGACTGCGCGACGCAAGTCGAAAGCGTACTACATCATTGTGTAAGAAGGACAGCAAGGTCAGCACGCGATTACGGCCAATATCCATCTCTTTCTATCCAACACCGTAATATTGGTTGAAAAGAGAGAGATTGGTCGCACATACGCCATATTTTAGGACGTGTTTCATATACGAGTAAAGAAGGGATCGCGCAGTCCATATAGGTCGATGGTCGTGATATTATCAAATAACTTGTAACTTTATCGCAAATCATCTTTTAATCACAGCAAAATAATGACTTTCAAGTGATTATTGTCAGTGTCACGTAATACTGATATATTTTTCTTACTCGATATTCGAGTCACGAATTCATTGAACGAAAAGTTTTGTTTAAGGCTTACTTATTATTATAATGTATAGACGTTACTAAATATTTATAACGCTACACAATATAATGATAAAAGAGAAATATAAATCCTTATATATAATGATTAACTAAATCTAATAATAACAGATATAATAAGTATTTAATAAATTAATAACGGATATATAAGCACTGTTCAATTTCTATTTAATATTTATTACACCTTGAGTTTCAGAGGATAATTAGCAGTGATTCAGCTCTTTTATGATAAACATTATATAATTATGAATTTAAAAAGTTAAGCAAAATTTATGATGTTGGATTCTGTGTATTCTGTAGTTAATTAAATAACTAGAAACTCTGACGCTATTGCCACCGGCTACTTTTCTCTTTTGCCAAAAGCATCTGTTACCTTTCATGCCACGACAATAGCTGTTGGACGATTTGGTTCGATAGTTCCAATTGATGTTGAACTGCAGGATGTGAGTATACACCGAGATATCCATAAAGAAGTTCTCGTGGAAACCAGTTTCGATCAGCAGTACCTTGATTTGAGGAGTGTCTTGCGGCTATGGTTGCTCCAGCCGTACCGGCGCCAATTATTATAAAATCAAAAGTATGTCCGAACTGCGGTGTCTTGTCCAGTATTTCTTGATTTGAATAATGTTGATTTTGTTTCAAGACATTATTCACTCCAATAGCTAATTTTAGTAATTTCAACAACTTTGATCCGCTGATATTATTGTTGTAATTACTGTTATAGTACGTGTGCCCATGTAATAAGTAAAATTACTAGTGATTTGAATTTTTGAAATAAACTAATACTTGAATATCTTTTTAAATACAATTTCTTTTTAAATGATACAAATAATGTATCAAATATGAGCATTTATATTATCGTCGTTATTACAAAGTAAATATGCATGTGAGTAAAAAATAATAAAATTACTTCATAAAAGTTTATTATAATTATGACTTTTCCAAGTAACCCCAATCTTTTTTTATCATATCTGCCGTTTTTTCGGCGATCATATAAACAGGAATGTTTATGTGCGCCGATATAATTTCGGGCATAATGGACGCATCTGCTACTCGTAATCCTTCAATGCCAATAACCTGCAAAATATTACATATGAATTTATAAAGCACACTGCTGATTATGATATCCCGCATAAATATTCTAATACGTATTTACAAACAAATACCTTTAATTTGGGATCGACGACAGCAGTTGGATCTCCCCTAGGTCCCATTTTACAACTGCCGCAGTAGTGATAAAGTGTCGTTGAGAGAATCCTTATTGCGCATTCCCAATAAACGTCGGAGTCATATTCGTAATTGTTGCATTCAGTATAAGTAATGTTTAAAAACTGAGAATCGAGCGCCTGCATCGCCTTTGTCCGACCAATACTTAATGCAGTTCTAATCCCAGCAATCATTGTCCTGACGTCGTCTGGATCATCGAAATAATTTGGCACAATCTCTGGTTTAACATTAACGTCGTTAGCTAACAATGTTATTCTACCGCGACTTTTAGGTTTCAACAGTATTGGTAAAACGGTCCAGCCATTGCTGCCACTGTACTTATCCCATTCCTGAGTTATAGGATCATTAAATTCCAATATCCTTGGGAAAATAATATCTTTAGTTGTACCACCAGTAAATAATAATTCGATGTCTGGTAAATTATTATTTTTTTCTGGGTGTTTTGTGTTGACGAAACCGAGGGCCTCGCACCCGCCCGGAATCGTAAATAATCCAGTTCGATTTATTATAAAGTCCAATATATGCGGATTAATAGGATTTATCAGATCGAAGAACTGTAAACTGACCACTGCGTTTGTTGTAAATGACAATCCAAAGAAGACTGGATGGTCCATGAGGTTATCGCCGACTGGCGCATCTTGAATTACGTTTATGCCTAGTTCGGAAAGATGTTTCGCTGGTCCGATGCCGGAGAGCATTAATAATTGCGGTGATCCAATGGCACCTGCACATAGAATCACTTCTTTGTTCGCGAACACACGTATTCTTTGGTTATGCTTGACGAATTCTACGCCGATTGCTCGATTTGTAATACGATCGATTAGCACTTTTGTCACCGTACTCTCACGAGTCAAGTGAAGATTGGTGCGACCGTGCACGGGATGCAAGTATGCCCTATTGCTACTTATGCGAGTGCCATTCATGATTGTGCTTTGCAGATATGAGAATCCTATTTTGTTTTTTCCGTTGTAATCTACTAGTGGATATCCTAGCTCCTTGCCAGCTTCTAGAAATGCCTCTGCCAACGGGGTATGAAATGACGGGTATGCGATATGTACTGGTCCATTGGTACCATGATAGTCAATATCCGATTTCAGCTCTGGAATATCCATTGTTTCCAGTTTTTTGAAGTACTGGAGAACGTCCTGATATGCCCAGCCTTCGTTTCCCATCTCGGCCCAGCGATCGTAATCTTCGGCGCCGCCTCTACTTGCTATCATAAAATTTAGCACGCTACTGCCACCGACTACTTTTCCACTCGACCAATGGCAACTATTATTTTTCATGCCCCGACAGTACTTGTTGGATGATTTGGTCCGATAGTTCGAATTTATTTTATTGTTTGTCTGGAGGACGATAGCGAATACTGGGATATCCATAAAGAGGTTTTCACGGGAACCAGCTTCGATCAGCAGTACTTTAATTTGTGGCACTTCGCTTAGTCTTGCGGCTATGGTTGCTCCAGCTGTACCAGCGCCGATCACTATAAAATCGTATCTGTCCCCAAACTGGGGTGTCATATCCGGTAATTCTTGTTCTACATATTGTCGATTCTGCTTCAAGAAATCAGTAGTTGAGCTTAGTAATTTTAGCAACGTCCATCCGTTATTACTATTGCCATGAAGACTACTGTAGTATGGGTGCCCATGTAACGAGTTGATTATGGTACTGATACTGAGAACGTAAAGGACACTCCGAATCTTGTTCGTCATATTTAAATAATAATTTGCTTTTGAATTATATGGAATAATGTGCAATGATAGAAAGTATGCCTAGATGCTCGTCATATATACCTGGCCTGTAATTTTAAGTGTGCGCTTTATGCAGGGTGTAATAAAAAGATCGAAACATTGTATTATCACGGAAAAAATATCATTTTTGGAAGAAATGTTTTAAACAAAAGGTGTAAGATTTAAGAAGATATATTTACTGACTGGTGTTAGACTTTTTGTGGAGTCGTTAAGGTCAAGTCAGGGTCGCTTCAAATTTTTTAATTTAGACCCCTTATTTTTTATTGCATATTTTTGTAGCCACGTATATAGTTGAAGTTTGGCGCGTTCTTGGAGCGAAAATTAACATGCGTTTTGTTCCAAAAGATACAAGTGTAAGGGCAATATTTAAGATCCCTGAAAGTAAAAAAAATAGTTTATTGAGATTTGAGGTTCGGAAGTGTCTCGTTCAGTCGGAAGTAGCAGCGCGTACTTGAATATATGTAATTAAATACCGTTAGTGGTCCTTCCTGCGTTTTGTGTCAAGAGATACAAGTGCGAGGGTAATCTTTAAGATCCTTGAAAGTAAAAAAAGATAGTTTGTTAAGATTCGAGGTCCGGAAGTGCCTTGTTCAACCGGAAGTAGCAGCGCGTATTTGTATATAACTGCTCAAAAAAATTAGAGGACTATTTTTTCTCAGTAAATTTTTGCCCATTTTTAAACTGTAATTACTCAGCAAATAATTAGCGTAAAAAAATTTTTGAAAAGAGTTTTACAGGGCAAACTCTCTACTATAAGCAAGCTCCCGTGCACATCGAGTTACGCAAATGTCGGCGGTATAGTACTGAAATCATAAAAAAAACAGAAGTACTTTAAATGATATCTGGCTAAATAATCGGCGTAGGACAAGTTTTTTTTCTTTATTTGAAAGAATCCGTACTTTGAGATAATATCAATAATTATGTTCGCCAATTTTTTTGTTAGGCAGCGGAAGACTGCAAATTTCAAGACTTTGGATATCTCAAATACGTCCTTATTCAAAGCTGATCACGTCTTTGAGTATTAAACTGGATAAAAATTGAACAAAAAAGCACCTTATAGTAGAGAGTTTGCCCTGTAAAATCTGTTTTCAATTTTTTTTTACGTTAATTATTCGCTGAGTAATTACAGTTTAAAAACGAGCAAAACCTGATCTCCTATATCATTTTTTTGAGCAGTGTACGAAATTAAAAATTCTTAGATTTTTTCTGTGTTTTGTGCCAAACGGTGCAAGTGCAAGGACAATATTTAAGATCTCTGAAAGTAAGAAAAAATAGTTAGTTGAGATTCGAGATCCAGAATTGTTTTGTTCAGCAGGACATAGCAGCGCATACTTGAACACAAAGATAAATATTTTTTTAGATTTAACAAATTTTCTTAAAATTCCGTTTCAAAGAAAATGCATTGGAATAGTCCAACCAAACCAATGTTTAAACTATAAAATGCAATTGTTGGATTTTTCAAATAAAATCTATTTTTACCTTAAAATAAATATTTTCTCGATAAAAAGTGAATGTTTTTTTTTATTGAATGTTTAACTTATACTATTTTATTATTTCAGTCAAAGTATTTAAATATTTTATTTAAATTATTTTTGTTAAATAAAACAATTTTATTATTTCAGTCAAAGTATTGTACTATTGGTATGTGATAAGCCACATGCTTCTAAAAATGAAGCAATATTGTTTAAAACACTCGTTTTAAATCAAACTTTAACGAAATCTTTTTTTGGAAACGAACGAACCAAACTACTTTTCCGATGTTAGCACTCGAAAAAACTGAAGATGACTTGAGCACGACGTGTGTGCCTACACAATGCTGATGGCTGAACTGAAGCAAAGCGCGGAAGGCTTATGGCACTTGATCCTCCTTGTCTCGGACCGATACGGTCAGTGTCGAAAGATTAAACGAAATACGAAAACGGTGCGCGACTAGAAAATATCCGTGAGTGAGCGATCGCACACACACAAACGTCGGCCAGCCCCGTCAGAAACTCTCAAACACTTCACGTTCACACTTCTTCTTTACTTACCTAATGGTTTTCACGTTCGCACTTGGCAAGCAACAATTTTGCTTCTTTGAAAACGCAGTAAGATGATTGGTTTATCGATTATCACGTCGCTCTTGCCGTAGCGTTCAAGCCGGACGAAATAGGCTAACTTTCTCGCCGAGCGATTGCCTCGATCCGTATCCTGTTTTGTCTCGAACCAAAAAAACTAATTAATCGTCAAGACTGTTTTGACCATAAATATTCTTTTTATTAAATTAAATTATTAAATTTTATTGCAAAAAATATTACCTCATTGTCAGTCAGGGTTCGAACTTGGAACCTCCCCATTCCGTATAGGGCGTCGTACCAATTCGACCACTGAGGCGCATATATCTATATGTTAATAAAAACCTTACATTTTTTGCTATTACTTCTGGATTCTTAATCAAATTTAACAATGGTTATTCCAAGCAATAAATTAGTTGTAAATAGTAACACTCTTATTTCAGTCAAACATATTTTAGAGGGGACTGGGGCTATGTGCCTACAATTTACGCTTTTTTCAAGTTTACTAAAAAACTAATAAAGATATTTGACTAAAATTTTAATGGTATAACCTTTCAACCTTGCTATTAAAAAAAAAGCATAATTAGAATCGTTGATCTTTTAACACTCTAAAGAGGCGAATTTTTTAAGGAAGTTTCGTCGCTACAAAAAATGCAGCCAGTTTCATGAAATGTTAATATGTTGTTCTGGAATGCAAAATAGAATTATGTAAATTTTTAGGGAATTTGTTACCGTCTCGTTTTGAAAACAATCTCCAAAAATTGTACTTTTTAACATAGGTTCTTACGGGAAATGTCATATTGCACACTGCAAGAAAAAATGCAAATGATAAGGGAAAAAAAATATGCACATGTAACTTAATAATTTACAAATAAATAAGTGAAAGAAAGGGGAAGGTTACCGCACATTTTCCACATACCGTGGAAAAATTAATTATTAAAGAATAAATTGTTTGATTTTTCGTCTGCTCACTCCCACTACTTCAAACGCTAGTGCGCTGTTTGCCAGAACCCCCGCGTCCCACTACTCCCCCCGATGAAGCAACCGAATCTCCTTAAGTGGACAAGTCTCGTAGGTCGTTTTTTTACAGTAGCGAGTAGCGAGTGAGAGCCCGAACATTTATTCCAAAGTCTAACGCTGTTTTTACGAAAAGATTCTCGCTCAATTTTTATTCTTTTAATCGCTCTAAATATAATTTTATTAGATATGTCTACCTTATCCGTCTTAAGGAAAGTCTTTCTTTTGTAGTTACGCACCATTATCTATTTATAAAAGAACAATTCGTCAATGAAGTGTGGACTCATTGACCCATCAAAAACAGGACAGATAGCCCCGACCACGTTTTTCAGTCTTTAACATGTTGCCAATTTTAGATAATGCGGAATTAAGATTTGACGCTTCTCACACACACACACACACACCTGATAACTATATATTAATTGATAATATTATGAATTGCTTACTTTAATTTGAATTAAACTACTGTCGCACAGCAAATTTTTCGACCGTCGAAAAATGTGAATAATTGTTTTCGCTTTTCTTGTAACGTATATAGCGTCTGCGAAAGGGATCGCAAGAAAACAAATAACTTTTAAATATCTTACGTAGGGCATTTTTCAATTACTTGTTACAATGGTAGAGACATCTGTTTCTTAAAACTTGAGATAGCAGTACTGTGGACACATAGCCCTCGTAGACAGATAGCCTCGGTTTCACCTATATCATTTTTATACAAAGAAATGTTTTATTTCAATCTATCGCAGGAAGTAATTCTGTCTTCCTGAGTAATATTTCGTGTAATCAAAGAAAATGTTATCATCGTCGAAACATATTGTTTCAAACAATCGTATTTTTTTTGTTAAACAATATGTTTCCATGAAATAAATATAATAGAAATAATGAATGTAAATAAATATTTTTCTCTGTGAAATATATGCGTTTAAAATTTTAGTAGTTTTTCCTGGGTTTTGTGCCAAAAGGTACGAGTGCGAGGACAATATATAAGATCCCTGAAAGTAAAAAAAATAGTTTATTGAGATTTGAGGTCAGGAAGTGCTCTGTTCGCACCGCGATTCAATTTTTGACAATGAGGCAATTTATCTCTGTGTGGTAAAAACAAGCAAGCAATTACAAGGGGGTAATTGTAACGCTACAATTGTCTGCAGGCATTGATATTACTATTCCGTTGTTTTTTGGTTTATATTTGGATAAGTAAAAATTAAATAGTCTTTATATATATATATATATATATATATGAATAATTGCGTGTTTCGAACGTGCCGTCAAATCCATTAAATCCGTTTTTAATTAACAAAGTTGCTCACAGATATTAACACTTAACATTTATTAAACTGTAAGAATATATTACGTACCACACAACTATTTAAGATGTAAAGTAAATATAAATAGAGTAAAGATCAAGTGAATTGCAGGCAAGAAACAATATTGAAGTTTAATTAGATTTCAAGAGCCCTTTTATATGGTTTCTATTTAAATAATTGAGTTTTTATGTGTAATTTTCCTTCAATATACTTTGTATACTTCAATTTAAATCAAAAGTGGTTTCTTGCCAAATTATATATATATTTGCAAATTATACATATTTGCATTGTCATATCTTTGGAGAAGACTTCGTTAATTTTTAAAAATAAAAGTTTATAAAAAAGAATTAATACTTTTTATTTTCTTGAATATTCTCTGTTCCTTACACTTACACAGCTACTTTTCAAATTTGAATAAATTAATTAACTAATAATCGAATTATTTCTTAAATACAATTGCTTTTTGAAAGATACCTCACAAATAGTACATCAAATATAAGCATTTATATTATCGTCGTAATTATAAAGTAAACATGTATGTGAGTAAGAAATAATAAATTAATGCAATTACTTCATAAAAGTTTATTATAATTATGACTTTTCCAAGTAACCCCAGTCTTCTTTGATCATATCTGCTGCTTTTTCGGCGATCATATATACAGGAATGTTTATGTGCGCCGATATAATTTCGGGCATAATGGACGCATCTGCTACTCGTAATCCTTCAATACCAATAACCTATTAAAATATTACATATGAATTCATAAAGTATGTACATGCTGCTTATTATGATATTTTGCATGAATATTTTATTATGTTTTTACAAACAAATACCTTTAATCTGGGATCGACGACAGCAGTCGGATCTCCCCTAGGTCCCATTTTACAAGTGCCGCAAGTGTGATAAAGTGTCATTGAGAGAATCCTTATTGCGCATTCCCAATAAGCGTCAGAGTCATATTTATAATTGTTGCATTCAGTATAAGTAATGTTTAAAAACTGAGAATCGAGCGCCTGCATCGCCTTTGTTCGACCAATCTTTAATGCAGTTCTAATCCCAGCAATCATTGTCCTGACGTCGTCTGGATCATCGAAATAATTCGGCACGATCTCTGGTTTAACATTAACGTCGTTAGCCAACAATGTTATCCTACCACGACTTTTAGGTTTCAACAATACTGGTAAAACAGTCCAGCCATTGCTGTTACTGTATTTCTCCCATTCCTGAATTATGGAATCTTTAAGTTCTAATAACCTTGGAAACAGAAAATCTTTCATTGTTAAACCGATGAACAATAATTCAATGTCTGGTAAATCGCTCTGCTTTTCTGGGTGTTTTGTGTTGACGAAACCGAGGGCCTCGCTCCCGCCCGGAAGCGTTAACGGTCCAATTCGATTTATTATAAAGTCCGATATATGCGAATTAATAGGATTTATCAGATCGAAGAACTGGAAACCGACCGCTGCGTTTGTTACGTATGTTATTCCGTAGAAGATTAAGTGGTCCATAAGGTTTTCGCCGACTGGCGCATCTTGGACGACGTTTATGCCCAGTTCTACAAGATGTTTCGCTGGTCCGATGCCGGAGAGCATCAATAACTTTGATGATCCAATGGTTCCCGCACATAAAATTACTTCTTTATTCGTGAACACACGTATTGTTTGCTTATTCTTGACGAACTCTACGCCGATTGCTTGATTTGTGATACGATCGATCAGCACTTTTGTCACCGTGCTCTGAAGAGTTATATGGAGATTGTTACGATCGTGCACGGGATGTAAGTACGCTCTATTGCTACTCATGCGAACGCCATTCATGATTGTGCTTTGCAGATATGAGAATCCTATTTCGTTTTTTCCGTTGTAATCTACTAGTGGATATCCTAGCTCCTTGCCAGCTTCTAGAAAGGCCTCTGCTAACGGAGTACGAAATGGCGGGTATGCGATATGTACTGGTCCATTGGTACCATGATAGTCAATATCCGATTTTAGCTCTGGAATATCCATTGTTTCCAGCTTTTTGAAATACTTGAGAACGTCCTGATATGCCCAGCCTTCGTTTCCCATCTCGGCCCAGCGATCGTAATCTTCGGCGCCTCCTCTAGTTGCTATCATAAAATTTAGCACACTATTGCCACCGACTACTTTTCCACTCGGCCAATGGCAACTATTATCTTTCATGCCACGACAGTACTTGTCGGATGACTTGGTCCGATAGCGCCAATTGACGTTGTTATTCGTCTGGAGAAGAGGAGCGAACAGTGGGATGTCCATAAAGAGGTTTTCATGGAAACCAGCTTCAATCAGCAGCACTTTGTTTTGAGGTATCTCACTTAGTCTTGCGGCTAGAGTTGCACCAGCCGTACCAGCGCCGATCACTATAAAATCGTATCTGTCTCCAAACTGGGGTGTCATATCCGGTAATTCTTGTTCTACATATTGTCGATTCTGCTTCAAGAAGTCAATAGTTGAGCTTAGTAATTTTTGTATCGTCCATCCGTTATTACTATTGCCATGAAGACTGTTGTAGTATGGGTGTCCATGTAACGAGTTGATTATAGTGCCGATACTGAGAACGTGGAAGAGACTCGGAATCTTGTTTAGCATATTTGAATAATAATTGGCCTTTAAATATGTTGAATGATGTGTAATAACAGGAAATGTGCCTGGTCGTTCGATATATCTGGCCTTTTAAGTTTACACCTTATATAGCTGTCACTTTTCGCGACTATAGTAGAGGCTTCATAAAATTTAACTGAACAATTTTAGATTCTATGTGTATATAGTTTTATATGCTTGTGTCCCCTCCAAAGAATTCGTAAGATTGTATTAATATCATGACAAAGAGAAATAAATGGCTATTCTGTCCTCCAGACTAAAGAAATGAATGACTATTGCACTATTTCCCATTTGGCAGGAGTCTTTTTTAAATTTATCATGTATGTTAATATTTTGCTCTTGCAACATTGGTTTTTCTGAATTATTAATTGTATGACTTACCTTTTGATTAATATTTATGTCATAATGGGCAACTTATTTTAACGGCGCGGGAATTGTGCCGATAATAATGTGAAAAATTAACCTATTGCGTAATCTCATATTTGATAGAAGTTTTTTAATTTTCAATGTAATGTTTTAATATTTTACTTTTTTAACGTTAGATCTTCTAAATTGTTAATCTTTTATTATACGTTATTTATTTGGTCCATGTTGTCGAATTGATTCTGATATCTGATTTTCGATTAAATAATAAACTGAACTTTCTAGAGAATATGCCTTTTAATTTTCATCGACCGATATCTCATGCTTTTGTGAACATTCTTGTGTTTTGTCTCAGTCATGTAGGTCATATTTACGTACATCGATTTCTTTCCAGCATGATTCGTGGGGTCATCTTATGAAACGTCTGACTTTATTGCATGCAATATTTTTTTATATAATGATAAAACAACTTTTTTTTATGTCTTATGAGATATTGTAAAATTCAAAACTTGACTGGAGGTTCTGTTCTAGGATACGTGTTTTGTTTAATGTGGTATATAATATAAAATATGCCTGTGGTGTCGAGAGAAAGAAGAGATCATGTCGCTATTTAATTCATAAATAAAAATGCAATTTTTGCTGAATAAAACTATTTAAAATAATTGAAATTACTGAAAATATTTCTTACAAAAAATTGTAATTACTATTATTTTTTCAATAATGATTTTTGTATATTTTTAAGGTACGTTTTGTTAGCTGCTGTCGAAACAGATACAAGATGTATAATGCAAAATCGATGAAAGTCACATTTACACATAAATATGATAAATCAATTCTTTTATTTTTAATGTTTTTTTGTAATGTTTAATATGTAGTTCTCTTATACTATAATATAGTGCAATATTATGAATCAGCATAGTACAATTTTTTGGATAGTAAACGCAAATTTTATTCCATGTACAAAAATCATTTTTTTTCTAACGATTAATGACTTTTCAAAAATGGATCTTATTTCGTATAATAGTACAGTAATTTTTTTATTTTAACAGTTTGGCAAGTGTTAAAGGTTCATAATTAAATTATTATTCGGTAATTATTGTTCGGTCTGAATGTGTGTAATGTTTATTGTTATTTGAATATACTGCAATAGTAGTAGTAACATTTATTTCGATTCCGAGGAATTACAAAATGGCGTTTTTGAGGGACGTACCCAACCTTTTACAACGTTTAATATACTGCAATATAGTGTTTAATTTTTTTAATTTTTACACTAATGTTAGATTATTTTACATTTCGCATTATTTGTCTAGAAGATCATACAGAAGTACTGACATCGCGCGCGGCGAAGTCCTGATCTTCGATATAAACAATACTTGTTGTACTTCGGTGTAAACAACAATATTGTATGAATATAAATAAGATATTAATTTTATTGAAATATTATATATGTGATGGATATTATATATACAATGAATTTGTTGTGATATTATATAAGTTGAACTATGAAGACTACGATCGTTATAATAGGTATCCATCGACTGTCGGCATACTTACACATTATTCTATATACAAATTTTATGTTATATACAATACATATATATATAATATTTTAATATATCTGTGAGAATTACATAAAATATTTTATGTAATTTAATAAAATAGTATTTTTTTATAGAATTCACTAAAATAATTTTAATTTTGTTTTAGTTTATGAAAATAACTAAGAAGAAATACAATGTGATAGTAGAAAGAAACTTATAAAATATTAAGAATTTTAAAACCTTGCAAAATATTTGCAAAAAATACTTGCCGATTATTTTAAACTATAAAGGGAGCTTTTCAGCAAGCGACACAAGTGCCGTTTTGTCTTTGTTACTCATTGTCAAAAAGGAAAGATAGAATGACGTTAATGTCGACCTTTGTCGCTTGCTGGAAAGCTCCCAAAATATAGAATGCTTAGATAATAGTGTGAATGTTACGATTTTCTTTTAATTAGACTTTACATGCGTTTTTCTTTTGATGTAATGACAAGAGGAGAATGAGTTTTCCAATATATTTGGATTAATTTGTATTTGCAGCGTTATTCATGAATCGTTTATTTGTGTCCGTTTGCGCTGTTTATTTGGTCTGGAACTGACTTAAGAAATTAATTATTCTATAATATATGTACAGGATGTCTTATGAATTTAAGATTAAGAATAATAACATCTTATTTGTAACCGTTATTAACAAGAGGAATAATAATCTGTTTTCGGCTTTAGCACTATGTATTGTATCACACATAGCGTGCGAATTTTAATTCATTAATTTTAAATGCTTATATTAAAAAACTATCATAGTCTCGACATTTTGGTATTAGAATTTTCGTCTGAATCGTTTAGGTGTTGTTACAGTCTTTACGGGGCATCCTGTATATATAAAATAAAAAATTTAATATTTATCAAACTGTAAGGATACACATATTACGCGATTAGCTATTCAAGATATGAAATAAACATAATACAGCAACAGAATTAATTAAATTACGGAAATGGAACAGTATTAAAGTTTGATTAAATTTCAAGACCTTTCTATGAAGTGATTTTTCTCTAATAAGTATAATTTCTCATTTGTCCTAAAAAACTTTTTTTGCGAATTACACGCACACATTTGCATTGTTTATCTTTCCAAAAATATTTTTTTAACGTTTAAAAATTTGAACTAATTCTATCAGAATTAATATGTAACTTTTCCATTTTCTTGAATATTATTTTACTCTTACATTTTTCTAAACTAAATCGACCAATACTCGAACTAACTCTTTTAGTTCAATTCCTTTTCAAAAGGTATACTTCGAATAATACAATGAATTTACGTGTTTGAATTTACTATTACCACAATCGTAAGGCGGTACTAAAAAAATATAGCACAATAATATAATTACTTTATAAAAGTTTACCTCTATCGCGACTTCTTTAAATAACCCCATTCTTCCTTGATCATATCTGCCGCCTTCTCGGCAATCATAAAAATAGGTATATTTGTGTGGGCCGATACAATTTCGGGTATAATGGACGCATCTGCCACTCGTAATCCTTGAATACCGATCACCTGCAATATATTGTATACGAACTCACAAATCAGGATATACATTTGCACATTACATTACTTATTATACTTCCGCGCAAATATCCTAGTGAATTAAAGAAAAATACCTTTAATTTAGGATCAACGACAGCAGTTGGATCTCCTCTTGGTCCCATTTTACAAGTCCCAGAATAATGAAAAAGCGTGGAAGACATTATCCTTATCGCGCATGCCCAATAAGCATCAGAGTCATATTCGTAATTGTTGCATTCCGTATAAGTAATGTTCAACAATTGAGAATCGAACGCTTGCATCGTCTTTGTCCGACCAATACTTAACGCAGTTCTAATCCCAGCAATCATTGTCTTCATATCGTCTGGGTCATCGAAATAATTCGGTACGATCTCTGGTTTAACATTAATGTCATTAGCCAATAACGTTATCCGTCCACGACTTTTTGGTTTCAACACTACTATCCCAAGGCTCCAACCATACGTGTCAGCGTATTTGGCCCATTCCTGACGTATATATTTGTTCAAATTGATCATTTTTGGAATAATATAATCTTCTTTAATTGTACCACCAGCGAATAATAGTTCGATATCCGGTAGATCGTCATATTTTTCTGGTCGTTTTGTGTTTACGAAACCGAGGGCCTCGCATCCACCTGGAATTGTGAGCGGTCCCGTTCGGTTTATTAAAAAATCCGTTAGGTATGGATTAACAGGGTTAACCATTTCGGGTATTATTAAACTTATCGATGCGTTTATTGTCCACGTTAATCCGAAGAAAGTTAGGTGATCCATAAGGTTCTCGCCGACAGGCGCATCTTGGACTACGTTTATACCTAGTTCGGTAAGATGTTTCTCTGGTCCGATACCCGAAAGCATCAACAATTGAGATGATCCGATGGTACCTGCACTTAGAATCACTTCTTTGTTCGCGAACACACGTATAGTTTGATTATATTTGACGAATTCTACGCCGACTGCTCGATTTGTACTAGGATCGATCAACACTTTTGTCACTTTGCTCTCAAGAGTTACGCGAAGATTGTTGCGATCGCGCGCGGGTTTCAAATACGCCCTATTGCTGCTCATGCGAGTGCCGTTTATGATCGTGGTCTGCGGATATGAGAATCCTATTTCGTTCTTTCCGTTGTAATCTACAAGTGGATATCCTAACTCCTTGCAAGCTTCTAGAAAGGCTTCTGCTACCGGGGTA